TCAAAAGTCTTAATCCATCATTTAATGGCGGTATGCCTACCGGAGTGTAACGTATTTAACATTAACATAAACTAGTTATGCTTTTTTTTAACAGAAACAAATCATCATAAAAAAATGCCTCAATTAGTTCCTTTCCATTTTATAAACCAAGTTACATTTGGATTTCTACTTTTAACTACAATAATATATATATTTTCTAAATATATTTTACCCAGATTCGTGCGTTTATTCCTTACTCGTACATTTATAACTAAGTTATAATTACATTCTTTAAATCTAGCTATGCTTTTTTAACCAAAAAAGGTTATTAATAAAAAAAATGATGAACCTTTATACAAAGATATCTAGCCCTTTAGATCAATTTGAAGTCAGAAATTTACTAAGTTTTGATGCACCTATTCTAGGAAATATACATTTATCTATTACTAATATAGGTTTATATTTAACTGTGGGAATGCTAATAGCATTAACTTTAAATATTTTAGCAACAAATTACAATAAAATAGTATCGAATAACTGATCGATAAGCCAAGAATCTATCTATGCCACTATATATAACATAGTAGTAAACCAAATAAATGCAAGTAAAGGACAAATATATTTCCCATTTATCTTTGCATTATTCATATTTATTTTAGTGAACAATTTAATAGGAATGGTTCCCTATAGTTTCGCTTCAACTTCTCATTTCATATTAACATTTTCTATAAGTTTTACTATAGTTTTAGGGGCTACTATACTTGGATTCAAAAAACATGGATTCGAATTCTTCTCATTATTTGTACCTGCTGGTTGTCCTTTAGCTCTATTGCCTTTACTTTGTTTAATAGAAACAGTGAGTTATATTGCACGTGCGGTTTCACTTGGTCTTCGTTTGAGTGCCAACATTTTATCTGGTCACATGTTACTAAGTATTCTTTCAGGGTTTACTTACAAAATAATGATATCTGGTGTTATTTTCTTTTTATTTGGTTTATTACCTTTAGCTTTCATTATCGCATTCTCAGGGCTAGAAATAGTTATCGCTTTAGTTCAGGCTCAAGTTTTTGTAATATTAACTTGTACATATATAAAGGACTCTTTAGATCTACATTCGTAGTAACCTTAAAATAATTTAATTTCACCCCCCCCCCTTTGACCCCACCTCCGGCCCAATTGAGGGGCGCTTCGCACAAAGGCGGATCATATCTAAAGGTCCGCGCTGCATGCACACGCCCACCCGGCCGGCTCCAGAAGGGTCCCACCTTAAAGGCTGAATATAAATGCAGGCTTTTTCCACACCAATAACTCCGACCCGGTCGTAGCTAGTCTACGTGAGGGACCCTTGGGGGGGGGGGTGAAGTAGCGGCCCTTGGTCGCAAAAATTAGTTAAAAGAGCATAAATTCGTACATTTTATTAATTTAAAATTACATTAAACCTACCACTCTAAAACATTGAGTTAAACAAAGCAAGTGCGCCGCCCCACGGTTTAATTTTAAAAATGGATATTCTATATGAGAGTGGGGCTGTACAAAGGCGCCACCCTCCCTTTTCTTTTTTTACAAAAAGAAAGAAAATAGCTTATTTCCATATTTAATTTTTATTGCTGTGCCAACAAGCAGCCTCGCCCCGCCCTTTTCGGACTACCCTTGGGGAGCCGCCCCCCCCTCAAAAATCACCCCTCTCATTGAAGATGAGAGGGGGTAGTCCGGGGGGGGGGTCCCCATGGGCCGCTTTTTTTTGATTTTTTTTTAAAAATTAAAAAAGAAAAGGTTTTAGTAAACCTACTGCTTAATAGATTAGATGAATAGCCATCCTTCATTTAACGGAGGTATACACCGTATTTAACATAAACTAGCTATGCTTTTTTTAACAGAAACAAATCATCATAAAAAAATGCCTCAATTAGTTCCTTTCCATTTTATAAACCAAGTTACATTTGGATTTCTACTTTTAACTACAATAATATATATATTTTCTAAATATATTTTACCCAGATTCGTGCGTTTATTCCTTACTCGTACATTTATAACTAAGTTATAATTACATTCTTTAAATCTAGCTATGCTTTTTTTTTTTACCCCAAAAAACCAAAGTAAACCATAAGGGTCTTTTAAGACCCTTATGATCAATCCCTGTAGGGGAGTAGATTCAACCATTAATTATAGTGAAGAAGATTCATGCATTAATTATAGTGAAGTAGCCCCACGGCCTTGGTGGTAGATAATGAGAAGATTTCTGTGAATACCTCAATGGCTGCGGCGTACCCAGCCCCCCTCTTCTCTCATTCATTTTCGTAGAAAATGAACGTAGAAGAGGCCCCCCCCCCCCTTCTCTCTTTTTTCAAAAAAAACCTCTCTGAAAGAGAGAGGAGCCGGGGCGCCACCCCTCTCGAACAGCCTTCTCAACGCGGGGCTGAAAGCCCCGCGTTGAGAGAAGTTTTTTTTTTTTGAATAAAAAAAAGAGAGGGCTATTAAAAGGATAATAACTGGGACTAGTTTTATTCCCTGGATGTGCCAGGAATATTTAAAGGTATGAAAAGGAATGGTGACCAGGATACTTTGGACCAGGATACTTCGGATCATGTCGGAATACAAAAAAAGGAGCCTCCTATATTATACGGAGGCCAAAACAAGGCCCTACTTTGCAATAATATAGGAGGCTCCGCCGCCGACCGGCCGCAAAAAAAAACAAATATATTCCAAATGGATTTCCTTTCCTTGTCCTGCATGCAGTCCTTTTATTCCAGCGTCCCCCCTCTTATTTATTAGGAGCCGGGAGGGGGGAGACGCATCCCTCTCTCTCAGAGAGGGACGCTACTTGGGTAATATATACCTGAGCCTGTATGCAGGCGTGTATGTCCCCTGCTTACATGAAGGGTCGCCCCCCCTTTGGCTGAGGGGATACTATACCAGAGTAGTGCCTCCTCCCCCCCCCCACTTGGGGGGGTAGGGGAGGGAGGTGGGAAAAGGAAATAGGGACAAGGGGGGGGGGGTAGGTTGCTTAGCCTCCGGGTGGGCATGCAGGCTGCATGCAGGGAATATAATATTGGCTAGGAGTGGGGGGGGAGGGGGGGGGAAGTCAAGGGCAATAAAGGGACAGAAAAGGCGTAGCAGGCCGGTTAAAAATTTCAAATTATTTTTAACCGGCCTGCATGCACCCTGCATGCAGGCTGCATGCAGGGGGGGGGGGGAAAAGAAAACTAAATATCACTTCTATAAGTAATATAGGTTTAAACCCTCGCTTCTACGAGTAGAATAGACTTTACATAAAGTCGTAGGGTGGTATGCATGCATGGAGGGGATCTGAATCTGGTAGTGGTAGTGGTGGTGGGGGGGGGGTATTCAAGGACAATTGTGAAGAGGTAGCATTCAATAAGGAGGGCATACAGGAACTACACAGATCAGCGAGGGGGGGGGGAGAAGACAAGTAGGGACAAGTAAGGGACTACTTCTGCTTGCATGGCATAAATACATGGGCAAGGTCAAGGTCAATAAAGGAATGTCAAAATACTACAAGAAATATATAATAAGAAAGGGATTAGCTCAGTGGTAGAGCGATTGGTTTACACCCTATAGGTTGCAAGTTCGAATCTTGTATCCCTTATTATTACACCCATTAGCATTACCGTATCCTTATCCTATCCTCGGGTTTAACATAAACTTAATCTAGTTAAGGTTTAACCTTAACCCAAGTTATGTGTTATAAATATATTCTCATATAAAAAGGTAAGGTTGGCTCAACAAAAAAGTATTGACATTACAGTTTATAGATCGAAAGAAAAGAAGAAAACTAAAAAAGCAAAGCGAAAAAGTACCTCGATTTTTCTTTATCTATAAATCTGGTTAGTTATTATGTATATTTTATGGCCAAAAAATAGATAATTGCATTAAAATTTAAAGATATAATAAATTATTAAACCTTTTTTTTATTTTACTCAATTTTTCTGCATGCTGGCTGCATGCGTCCTCGAAGAGGGTGCATGCATGGCTGCTTCGCAGTAAGCTAAAAGAAATTAGTGCTTCGCTAATTGAGAGTAAAAAGATATAAAAAAAGGCAAAGCGATCAGGTCGTTATAATTAAATTAAATATCCAATATATATAAAAGCAGTAATAATATACTATATAAAATGAAAAACATAAATTAATAAATAAGAAAAAAATGAGAATTTTAAAAAGTTATCCCTTATTAAGAATGGTAAATTCTTATGTAATAGATTCTCCTCAACCCTCAAACATTAGTTATTGATGAAATTTTGGTTCTTTATTAGCTTTATGTTTAGTTATACAGATCATAACAGGAGTTACTTTAGCTATGCACGTGCGCTGTGGTAACAACGCAATGTCGTGGGATTTGATCCCGTTCGTTCCTTTTCTAGCGATCGTGTCATCTGAGTTAGGTATTACAGAAAGTGTAATGCTGAACATAGCATCTCAGCCAGAAGTGGGAGGTCGTTGAAAACCGATATCTAACGATTATACTGCAAGACACAACTACTATGATGAGACTCATACTAGTCAAACAACAATAACCACTGCCTCCAAGCTAAGAGGGGCCCTCGTCGGTTACAGGGGTCTTACTCTCTTGAGTAAATGTAGTGCATGTTTACTTATCGAAGGAGAGAGTACAGGTTCTACAACAAGTACAATTAAGGTTATGGGTGTTGCATCTAAGGTGGTAGTACGAACATTGACTTTGAACACAGGATTGCCTAAGGGAAGAAATTCCTATGGTAACGGATCAACGGTAGTACCTGGCGTAGCCCCTAAAAGGCTGCGATACGACTCAAGTAATATTGGGTGAAAGGGAAGCGTTGAAGCCTCATTATTATTCAAAAGAACATACGTCTCCGGAGGAGATACGGGTTTAAAATCCAACGTAGGTTTAAAGTTGAATAAACTCTTGGACAGATCTAGATCGGGACCAGATCAAGTTATAGACCGTAATCTGTACAACATACTATCTAGCGTTGAAATGTTAACCTATGCTTATGAGAACATAAAGAGTAAACCGGGGAATATGCCTCCTGGAGTCTCCCCGGAAACTCTGGATGGTATCTCTAAAGAAAAATTGGAGCAGCTCTCAGCCCTACTTAAGAGTGAGAAATTTAAGTTCGCTCCTAGTAGAAGAATTGGGATTGGCAAACCATCAGGAGGAACGCGCCCCTTAACCATCGCCCCACCAATGGACAAAATTGTTCAGGAGGCCATGAGATTAATACTAGAAGCAATCTTCGAACCCTTATTCAAAGACTGTTCGCACGGGTTCCGACCAAATCGAAGTTGCCACACGGCACTGAAGAGAGTAAGTCAAGAATTTCAACCAGCACAATGATTTATAGAGGGTGACATATCTAAATGTTTCGATTCCATCCCCCACGATAAGCTCATGAAGCTTATTGAGGATAAAATCACAGATAGAAGCTTGACAAAATTAATCTGAAAAGCCCTAACTGCGGGATATTTCGAATTCCAAATCTTCAAAAGTAACATCATTGGTACTCCTCAAGGGTCCATCGTAAGCCCTATCCTATCAAATATATTTCTAGATCAACTTGACCACTTTGTGTTGTCCCTTAAAAAGGACTTTGACAAGGGAGACAAAGCCATAAGAACGAAAGAGAGCAGGTATTACGAATATCATGTCCTCAAAGCTCGAAAGGCCGGAGACAAAGCCCTAATGCGTAAACACATCGCCGAAAGATCTCAATTTCGGGCCATTGACTTTGGAAATGACGGCTTTAAAAGACTGTCCTACATCAGATACGCCGATGACTGGATAGTAGGAATAAGAGGAACCCTCCAGGAGGCCAAAGAAATACTCAACAAGATAAGTCTTTTCTGTGCATCTATTGGTTTAACAGTGAGCGAAAGCAAAACTAAGATAACAGCCATAAACACAGATCCCGCCCTATTCCTTGGTACATCAATATCAAGATCTAACCATAGAAGCCATAGCAAAATGGGAACTATGCGTCGATTAAGACGTAATAACCTCGGCCTAAGATTTGAAGCCCCTTTAGACAGAATAAATAAAAAATTGTCTCAAGCGAAATTTATGGTCAATGGAAAGTCGGCTCCGAAATTCCTTTGATTACATAACGATCACGACCAGATAATCGTTCTTTACAACTCAGTCCTCAGAGGATATTTAAATTACTACAGCTTCACTCACAACTATGGTAGATTAGCTACTTATTTGGAATACATCTTAAAACAATCATGTGCTAAACTGCTAGCGACAAAATTTACACTCGGAACTATGGCACAAACATATAAAAAGTTTGGACATAGACTAACGAGCCCGAAAGGAAAAACATTCTTTAAACCGTCATACCGAGCCACATATAAGTATATGGAAAAGCCTAATCCAGTGGTAGGAGCCTTATCTCGAGAGAAGACAAACGCAACGTTCGAATACTTAAGATGTAAGAATTGTGACTCCGACTACCGGGTAGAGTTCCATCATATCAGAGCCATGAAAGACCTTAACCCAAAGATCTCTTACATGGACCGGCTTATGGTAAAGGCCAACCGAAAGAGAATACCACTTTGTATAGCTTGTCATATGATGAAACACAGAAAACGCGAAACAGTCTTCGATCAAACTACCTAGAAAATCCCAATAGCATTAATGGGGGGGAGAGCCGTATGATGGGAAACTATCACGTACGGTTCGGGAAAGGGTGACTGCTATCCCACCCCACCTTCGGTGAGGGAAATCCGAAGGAAGCAGTCATCTAGTTCACTACAACCCAAGTGTTTTAGAATCATTTAATTCTGTTGAGCATATCATGAGAGATGTTAACAATGGTTGATTAATTCGTTACTTGCACTCTAACACAGCTTCAGCTTTCTTTTTCCTAGTTTATCTGCACAGTGCGACAAGAAGTTGATAATTACAATGAGGTGAAATTCCTCCTCGAATGACCCTTCGAGTCCCTACCCGAACATGCGTTAGAAGTAATTCTTTGGTGTGAAGCTTTGGGAACAATGCTAAACAAAAGTTAGTTAGGGAAAAAGCTAAGGTAAGCGAAAGCGAAGATATGTATTTACGATTCGTAATTCTATTTTTTAATTCAAAAGTAATGAGTAAAATAGAAGTTCGTAAGAGTGTGAGGTGTTGTGCAACCGAAGTCGGGTCTCCCTCGTTATTATTTAAATGAGGCAAATGCGACGAATCAAAGTATCTACCTAAGGCTAAAATAAAATAGTGTAATATCGAAACTTGGTAAGCCCAATGATTACCTATCTGTCCTTTATCTTATCCACGGCTTGGTCGAAATATGCTGAGGTGGATAGATAAGGGGTAACTATCAGAAGGAGGTGCTTTATAATATTAGTTTTAATAGAAGTGAGCATATCAATCAGTGGGTAAAAGACAATCGAAAAAGCGAATGCCAACTAGTAATAGGTTGGATAGAGTTTTCTCAAATCTGAAAGGATGCTGACTTCGATATGGGTGATCTAATCTACACAATAAAAACCAAAATAATTTTCTATCATCTTTTTTTTTTCGACCTTTCTGCAAAGCGGGGTGAGCTACGCTCACTGCTTCGCGTGCTACCTCGTGGCACCCCCTCCCCGACTCTCTCATTTATTTACTAGCCCTGATCAAGGCGGGGAGGACCCCGTGATTAAGGAAATAAACGGAGTAATACCTCTATCGAAATCTGCGATAATATTTCGTTGTGCCCTGGTTGACGCGTGAGAAATACTAGACCCGTTGTGGTTGTAGCTCAATACCGTGACTGTAAGGTGGGTAGTGGGACTAAGGTTCTTCTTGCATTATCTGGTGGTGATTCCGTAGTCACAAGTAAAGAACAAGTAGAATTGAGTCCAATGTAATGGGCGTAAGCCCTGTGACAGAAGCCATTCTAGAGGACTAACCCTCCTCTTTGACGGTCCTACCTTTAGTCTAGCCTAGTGTGCAACCGAATATTATTAAAGTCTGCGATATCCTGTCCTCTGTGTTACTATTGATTAAGATTTAAGAAAAAAAAATAATTATGTTAAAAACCAAAGGTCTTCTGTCACAGGGTATCGCCTTCTTTACTTTTGCAGTTATCTTAGTGTGCCTCTTAAATTTTTATGCTTTCAATTCCCTTGATCTAGCCGCATTCCTTTCGTTAAATCTGAGCCAACAAAGATTTTATTCAAGTAAAATTCCTAATAATAAAAATGATAATACAAATAAATTAAATTCATCTTTATCCCAAAAAGATGGATATGTTATAATAAATGGAAAAATGATTTTAATGTCTTTAACAGAATTAGAAATACTTATTGAAAAATATAAAGATGAAGCAAAAGAGTCTTATCATAATCAAGAATTTTCTTCTGATTTCTTGTTAGCTATGCGATATTTATTCAACGGCTTTTTTCAAGCAGAAGGTAGTTGATCTGGAAAATTCCACTCTAGTTCTAGTCACCATTTTAGCCCAATATTCTCTATTGGACAAAATGTAAGTGATAAGAGTTTACAATTTTTTTCTTTATTGTGAGTAATATTAGGTTGTCAATTAAAGTGAAGTATTTCCAAAAATCTATCTGGAAAATACCATATACAATTAAGAAGCACTAATAAAGAATATATAATGTCGGTTCTTTTTCCTTACTTATCTTTAACTTATGGTGAGAAGTTTACAGCAATGGCTAAACTATCACGAATAGATGAGTTAAATTGTTTAAACACATTATCTTCCCGTCTTGAAATTATTAATTTAGCATATAGCTTAACACCAGGGGGTAGAGACCGTACTACTTCATTAGAGGAAAAATTCTCACTTGTTACTGAAAATTCTGAAGATTTGATTACACCTGACTCATCCGCGGACATTTCTATGTCAAATCAATTTGAAGCAAAAGAAAATACTACTTTTTTAAATATAGTTTTTATTTTAGGTTTCTTTTTAGGGGATGGTTGTGCTTACATAAGAATTAGAGATAATGTCACTGGTCTTTTATTTATTCCTAAATTTGAAATAAAACAGAAAAATACTACTAGTAATTTGTATCTGATGGAATTAATTTGTAATTTTTTAATCAGCAAAGGGGTGCAAGCTTGTTTAAGAACAGACTCCTATTATGTATTATGTGTTATTGAGGGAGTAGAAAATATATCTAACCTTTTATTACTATTAGAACCCCATTATGAGTTATTTTTCTGAAAGACTAATCAACTTAAAATGGTTCAACAGTTTGTAAAATTAATTACACTGGATAGTCGTAATTTATTGCCAGTTAAATATCTTATGATTAAAACTATTTATTCAATAGAAAATAACAGGGATTATACAATGAAACATTGGCTTAATAGAATAGACGAAATTTTTAACAAAAAATCAGTCAGAAATACTTCTGGTGAGTTTTACATTTCACCTGTTATTGATAAAGTAAATAAAACAGGTAAAGTAACTAAGTGGTGTGTGCATCTTCCTTTATTTTTAAAATCTAGTCCAAGAAGTAAATATTTCTCTTTTGAAAAATATGGTGGACAAGATATAGCTTTAAAAGAAGCAATCGCTTATAGAGATTCAGTGGTTAATAGATGATTTACAGATCAGGGATATGTTGCAGATCCTTTAATTGTGGGTAGTGATACTTAGTGTTTCAAAAGCTAATCCAACTGCCGGTCCGCAATTCTTTTTAGTTGCGCATTACTGCTTAGCCTTTAGCCTTAGCCCTTTTTTTGTTTCCTTCCCATCTCCTAGCTTCGCTCACCCCCCCCCACTTCGTGGGGGGGGAGCGATGCATCTCGCGCGCTGCGCGCGCGGACGCTTCGCTCCGGTAAAGGGCGGGGTGGACTACGGAGCTGGGGAGTGGGCTTATTAAATTAAACCTAACCCCATAGGGGAGGCAGGATTTTATGCAGAAAAAAAAAGAAAAAGAAAAATGAAAATGAAAATGTTGTATAATAGAAAAAAATTGTGTATAAAAAAAAATAGATTGCTCGAGCCATGTGCTGGGAAACTAGCATGCATGGTTCTTAGCGGGGGAAAGTCTGAAAGGACCTACCTATCGCGATTCGGAAGAGGTTTATATTATGGATCTTACCAAAATCCAAGAACATTAGTTTGAGGTATAGGTACTGTAATTTTTATCTTAATGATGGCTATTAAGAAGTGGCCAAATTGAATATTAGTTAATATTATTTATAAAGGAGGAACTAGATCTTTAAGTTTACTCGCATTTAATAGAGCTAGAACTAGAGCAATATTACGTGTGGGACCACATAGTAAAGAAGTTCTATCAATTATTATAAGTGGCAATAAGAATTTAGTTACTATTTGTAATAAGAATAACCGACTTAATCCTCAATTCGTAACTGGATTTTCAGACGGTGAGGCCTATTTTAGTATAGGTATAACTAAACGTACAAACGGTTGGGTAGCATCGCCAGCGTTTGGAATACATTTACATTGTAGAGATTTACCTTTATTACACAATATTCAAGATTTTTTCGGGGGTATTGGAAACATTTCAACAGGTAGTAAAAGTCAATCAGTTACTTTTTATGTGGGAAATTTAAATGAATTAGTTAACGTTATTATTCCCCATTTTCAACAATATTTATTAAGAAGTGCTAAAAGCATAGACTTTATATTGTGGGCAGAATGTGTAAAATTAATAGCGGCTAAAGAACATTTAACAGAAGATGGATTAAATAAAATACTTTCCTTAAAGTCTGCTCTAAATTTAGGTTTATCTGAACAAGTAAAAACGCAGTTCTCGAATGTAGTTCCTATGGTTCGTCCAACTTATTCAGTAAGTGTGGTTCCTCTAGACCCTAATTGGATAAGCGGATTTTCGGATGGAGAATCTTGTTTTTATGTTTCTATTACTAAAACCAATCAAGTAATAGCTTTTTTCCAGGTAGAACTACATAATAGAGAAACAACTTTAATACACAAAATACAAGAATTTTTTGGAGGCATTGGTAAAATTAATTTCCCATCAAAGCGAGAGCTAGCTCGTTTTACTGTAACAAAACAACAAGATTTGTTAAATGTAATAATTCCACATTTTGATACTTATGCATTAGAAGGCAATAAAAATAAAAATTATTTAATCTGGAGAGAAATACTGTTATTAGTTAAATCTAAAGCACATTTAACCCCAGAAGGACTGATTAAGATAGGAAAACTAAAAAAAGAACTTAACAAATAGATGAACAACAAATTTTTAATAATGAAAACTTTAACTATGTTTATTAATTTACGCAATTTCAGGGGCATACTTGGCCCCCTAAATACGTATGGTCAATACTACAAAAGACCATATTTTACTGGATGTAAGCTTGAAGGATCTGGATCAGAAGGTGACCTCAAGAAAAAACGTTTATTAAAATTTGAAAAGAGAAGAATTAGTAGTCTAGATAAATATTTGCAAGAAATTTTAATAGGTCTTTTACTTGGGGGTGTTTATGCTCAAAAACGTAGAACAAAAGATAATACGTGTTTATTTTTTGAAAAGAGTATTCTGGAGAAAGATTATATTTTTCATTTATTCGAGTTATTTAAAGATCATTGTAGATCAGGACCTAGAGTTTCTGAGCGTCTTGCTGATAAATGTAGAAGTAAAGTATATACTCGGGTACAATTCGCTACTTATTCTTTACCGTGCTTTGATGAATTACATGATACGTTTTATCCTAAAGGAAAAAAAATAGTCCCATCAAACATAGAAGAACTTCTTACACCTTTAGGATTAGCCTATTGGATATGTGAGGATGGAAGACATCATAAAAAACATAAATATACAATGCTTGCTACAAATACTTATACGTTAAGAGAAGTTGAACTTTTATTAGGTGTCTTAAGAGTTAAATATAATTTAGATTGTTATGCAGTAGAGGAACGTAGTGGCTATGTAATAACTATTGCAGCAAGATCTGTACTTGATTTACAACCCATGTTAAAGCCAATAATGCCTAGTATGATGATGCATAAGATTGGATTGTAGAATTTATTGCTGTTGATTAAGTCTTTTGAACCAAAATAATCATAAGCGTGAAGTATGCTGCTTGGTGACTGGTGAGCTGACGAAATTAAAGGTCAAATTTTGCCAAGTGTACGGTTTAACATTGAACAATCAGTTAAAAATTCTGCATATATACACAATCTTAGTTTATTTTTATTTGAACAAGGTTATTGTTCTAGTTTTGTACCAAAATTAGTAAAAAATCCTCACCCCGCTCATCGAAGATGAGCGGGGGTTATTCGGAATTAATGATAAACGAATGGATAAAAGTGTAACAAGATTCAATTATAGACTAACATTGTTTACATTTACAAGTCTTCATTGAATATATGAAGGATTCTACCACAAGGTAAATGGTATTACTGTAAAAAGAGTACCTAAGTGGATAGGTGAGTATATAACACCTCTAGGCTTAGCTCATTGGATCATGGTTAGTGGGTCAGTGCAAAGACAAGGATTAATAATTTGCATAGGTTCTTTTATTGAAGAGGATGTAGTTAGAATCATAAAGGTATTAAAGGTTAGATTTAATTTAGATAGTACAATACATTACAATGAAGAAAAACCAATGATTTTTATACGGGAAGGGTCAATGCCACTTTTACGATCTATTGTAAGTCCTTATATGTTCCCATCTGTGAAGTACAAATTGTATTACGAGCTAGCTCATCCAGCTAAAGTTGATTCTGTTTCAATTTAAACCAACTCTACCCTTGCATAAAATCCACTGGTCGTTATAAACAACAATGAACAGTGCCATCATGAAATAGTTTTTCTATAAGAGACCTATTTAAAGACAAATCTAACTGCGTCGTAGTAGCCATGCAGACTTTTGCAAGCCTTGGTCTGCATGCAGGGGGTTTTTCTTGTAGTCAAGCAGACCGTTCTATTTTCTGCAAAAACCAAAGAAAAATTTAAGTGCCCTTGGTCGAGAGCTTCGGCTCTCGACCCAGGTTGGTTAGTACTAAGGAGATTCTGTAATTTAAATAATGTTAACAATAATCAGGTGTATTCAGATTAAGAAGGAATTTCTTCAATATTAAAAAAAAACCAAAAAAATGTATGTATTTAGCGAATTATTATCTGTGGATTTCTGCTTATTTATTGTTCCTGCTGTTACATATTCCAAACCTGATCTTCAAGAGAAATTAATAAAAGAAGAAAACAGAGGAAAATCTGGAGTGTATCGTTGAATTAATTCAATTAATGGAAAAACTTATGTTGGAAGTAGTGTTAATCTTGGAAAAAGATTTGGAAGCTACTATAATGAAAATCTTAAATGTAATATGGTAATTCATCGATCCCTACTAAAACCAACCAAACCAACCTACTACTTGCGTAGTACGGTTGGTTTGTTTGGCGGCGTTTGGGTTTTCTAATTTTATCCTAGAGATCCTCGAATATTGTGAACCTCAAGAAGCAATAAAAAGAGAGCAATACTATTTGAATTTTTTAAAGCCCGAATACAATATTTTAAAGATAGCTGGATCCACGTTAGGCTTTAAACACTCTGAAAAGACCCTATCCAAATTCAAAGAACGAAAATTTTCAGAAGAGCATATTGGCAAGCTAAGAGAGCACTTGACTCGATTACATGTTATGAATATGCGAAAGGAGATAAGGGCAAAAATTAGCGCAGGTATGGCTAATTTCAATGTTTCTACTAAAGGTATAGTGATAAAAGTTACTAACCTTGAGACAAATGTTTCGGTTGAATATGCTTCCATAAGGGAAACAGCCAGAGCGCTTATTTCAAATAAGACTACGCTAACTAAATATCTACAAAATTCAAAGCCGTCGCCCCCCCTCTCTTTCAAGAGAGGGGGGGGGGGGCGAAGGCATCTCCCCCACTGCGTG